CAAATTCTCGCTAGCGAGGTCCATTGATTCTTAAAAAAATAGTTCTTATCAGGCATTATCAGCTAGAAAACTGTTACTGAGATGATAGCGTGCTAAAAACTATAATAACTGTCTCTTATTTTTCTAAGGGTTGATCTTTTCTCTCCAGCAATATTTGTCTAATCCCTCTTTATTTCATGCCCCCTGTTAGCTTCTCTGATAACAATAAGTCTGCCTTAGCCAAGGCAGGCTTTGTTGAAGAAGCAATATCTAAATTGCTACTCACTAATCACAGTCCTCAGGCAAGAAGCGGTTAATCTTAGATTTGCGGCTTATTAACAAGCACCTGTGGAAGCAGAGAGTTAAGTTTGAGGATCTTAAGGTTGCCTTGAATTTTTTCTTGTCTGTGTTCCTTGACCTCTCTGAAGTCGGCTTTGTCTTGTAGCCCAGAATGTTTGTAGTCTCGGTGACTAGTGATTGCCTCGGTGGCTGCGTATGCTTCTAGTCTCGCTGAATTGTGTGTGCCTCGACGGCGGTGTAATTAAGTCTGTAGTCCTGCCATTTTTATGTGCCTCGGTGGCTGTGTGTCCCTTTCATTTAATTAGTGGACTTATTTATGCTTAAGCGGCCGTTCATCTTTGTAATCCCCGTACCCGTCACGTTGTTTTGGTGTCCGTGTGGGACTTAACTTTCGTTGGCTACTGCGTACCGTGACCTCGGTGTCCGCACGCGTTGTGTAGTCATATTATTCCTTCCGGCTTTGACTTGGTCATGATCCTCAGGATCATTTTTAGTATATCCCACCTCTGTGGGCCTTGACCCCATTTTCTGGTTAGAGTTCCTTTTCTCTCCGTTTTGTGTCCTCCTAGCTTGCCCACGTTCAAGATCATTCCTTGTGTCTTCTGGTAAACAAGTTACCCGAAGTGGTTCTTGGTTCCAGAGCAGATAGTACAACAGCTTCGTACCTTAGCGGTTTCAGACGGTGGCGTTCTTGGGCCTCTAGGTTCCCTAAGATCAGAGTCTTGCCAGCAACCCCGGCTTACGTGTCCTTGTCTTTACTCAGCCTCTTTCAAGCTTCTACCTCTCCGGCTTTAGCGTGTTTTACCTCTAACCCCCAGAAGTTGGTGCGTCTGCATTTGGATGGGGAATACGTTCCCATTTTTCCCACTGGACGTTTTGGGTTTTCGTATCACGCGGTGACACAAAATTTTTTTTAGCCCGGGAGGTGATTCAGTTGTAACTAGTTGTTTACTATTCTCTGTACCTTTGTCGGACGACATTAAACATTCAGGCTCCTGGTTCGAGCTGCACACCCACTCTTGTGTATGAGTCGTGAATTAAGATAGGAAATAAATCTTTATTGTTTCCCATTTAAGGCACACCCTCCCGTCAGACAAGTTAGGCTACTTCGAACACGTGGAATAATTTGTACAAAGAACCCTCAGGCTGTTTGCCTATATACTACCTGGCCGTCAGGTAATATAGGCAAATAGCACAAGCAAGCGAAGCATTACAATGAATATTAGCGTTTGATAACCGATCACGCAAACTCCGCCCCCCATTTTAACATTACTTGAAACATGCACCCTCAAGAAGTGGGGAGAAACACTCGACTTCGTCTCGTGTTTCTCCCTACACTTCTTTCGTGCTCTAGCCGCTTCCTGCGTGCTTTATAACAGAACAGAGCACAGTCAAGGTTTCTCTATTTGTTAAATACAAGGTTCAATTGTGTTTTTTTTTCGTGTCGTGCGTGAACTTCATGCGTTTTATACGATTCTTGAATTCCTGAGCGTATCTGTAAACCAGCTTGTCTACGATACATCAAATTTAATTGTTCAAAACCAACCAGTCTAACTAATTGAACACAAAAGATATATACGTTTCGTCGCCAATCACTTAGAAAATACAAATTCTAATCAGTCTGTAAAATTGACAGAAAGCTTCATCAACACCAAGCCCATATTAATTAAATCCCTGAATTCATGCAACTCTTTTCTTCATGAAAACAATTGTAAACAATAATATCTAGAACTTTCTTTGTTCCTTGTTAAGTTCGCCTATCTTCTCCGCAAAGTGCTGCTATCAAACGTACAAATAATCCTAAACAAGTTCATTTTGAAAATAGCACATCAAGGCTACAAAGCTGTAACTAAGAAACAACAAGCTTCATGGGAGTTTTACACAAGTAATTCCACATCTTCCAGACTAACTGCTGACAATCTTTACCAAATCCTTTCGTTCTTTACCTTTAAATGGAAAAAAATTAAAAGCTTAGAGATTTTATCCCAAGTGATGGTATTTCTTGGATCTTTTACAATGAATTTATAAGGATACCGTATTTATAAGCAAAGAAAGACGAGCTTATCCCGGAAAAATGGATGATAGATCCGTATCGCCGATTTCAATCATAAAAATGCTCAGGTAGAATGAAAACCTACCATTAGTCTTAGTCCTAGCGTTCATCATGCTCGATGGGATGGTTTGTGTTGGGTGGAACAATGTGATTTTCGCTCCTTCTTCTCCTTAATCTTCTCCTCTCTTCGTTTCTGGTCACCTCCTGTCTGATCAGTTGAACAAGATGTTCATAGTTTTCTACGTGTCCTTCAAAGCCCTGTACCAAAACTCTTTCCACTCTGATCAGGAAATAAATGATCAACAACAGTAGTGTGACACAAAGGAGGCAGCAGAATACTTCAATAGGAGACATGGTTGTCTGTATAACTTGTCTGGAAAGCGCGTTAGCAAGAGGAACACGTCGTATGCTGAGCGAAAATTATTCCTGCTCAACGGTGTGATAGTGGCAAAAATCGAAGCAGATCGAGAACCCGCGACTCTATAAAATGAAATTTAGGATCAATATTTGGGACCACATTTAGTATCTGGGCAACCGAGCTCGATTCATGTTCAAAACCAACCTCGGTTCAACGAGCTCGAAATGCAGTCAATTCGATTGGAGCTCGATTCAACGGACCACATTTAGTATCTGGGCAACCGAGCTCGATTCATGTTCACCGTACTCGAATAGCAATTCGAGTACCATTTCAAACCAACCTCGGTTCAACGAGCTCGAAATGCAGCCAATTCTATTCGAGCTCGATTCAACTATATCGTGCTCGATCAAAAAGACGAGCTCGACGAACTCAATCTGCTCTTATCGACCTCAGTTATTTTTATCGAGCTCGGTTTGCCACGTATTCTATCGAGCACGGTTTGCCTCGCATTCTGTAGGTTTCATATTGAGCTCGATTTGATATCGAGCTCGGTTTAATCTTCATTCAGCAAATGAGAGGTAATCTGGTACCAAGACTTGGGAGGGAGCATGGGACGAGCGAGAGTGGCCATGTTTCTGGCAAATTTGTCGAGTTTAGTTCGTGAATTCGGGACTTTTTAGGAGTATGTTTTCGGTCGAATTCGAAAAAAAAGAAGAAGAGTGACAGAAGAAAAGCAAAGAATGATTTCTACTGCTAAGGAGATGAAGGAAATGACACTAAGGTGAGCATTGGCTCTTTACGGGAGGGTGTTCCGAGTTGCTGGTTCATAGTTTGTAGTAACGTTTTGTTCAGTTTCAAACTTAAGCTCAATCCTGGAGTGTACGGTTCTCGGTTATTTTAAATCTCAGTAGTGTAATAAGAAAGTGTCTCCCTCCATTTTACCAACCCCAAGTTTATCCCACAAAAAAGTATACATAACAACATGCAACAATACACACATTCTATTTTTATTATATAAGCTCAATACACTTTCGTGTTTCTATTTTAATTGGTCGTTTGTAACGAGGAAAGGGACAGAACTCTAATGAAATATGAAAATCTTTTGGAGAATATGACAAAAAAAGTCTGAAAAGTAATGTATGTTCATCTCTTGCAATCAAATATTAACTAAAGAAGAATAATAATAACTATACTGAACATATGCATTATCAGAGACCATGGTTGATTGACGACATTTCACGAAATTAAGAAAGTGTGGCGGGCTAATGTAATTGTTAAAAGAAGCTAAATTTTTAAATATAAAATAAACATACAGTTCAAGCTGTGTTTATCAGTGAGAGAAATGTATTTTTGAATCCAGATTGATTAAATGTTGCTAGATGAAGACAGATTTGCCAATTTTGTGAAAAGTGAGTAATTTTCAGGAATTGGTTTGATAGTTGAGAGCAAAGAGGTTTCCATTATTAACAGGTCTTAAAATGTTCAATCCAGTTATGAATGTGTTAATAGATCCACCAAAAAGCCATTAAACAACTGCAACAGTTCACTTTTAACAAAATAATCAATGCTTGTTGATTTAACCTTAGTTTTTAAACGGCTTGACCCAACCCTCTTTATAGACTGCAAAACCATATTCTTAATTTGCAGTCATGACAAAAAAAATAAGCAAGAAATTTATGACTGTTAAGTAAGAGGTTAATAAAAATGCCAGTTGACTTTTTTTAATAACTGAATTGAACATTTTATGACCTGTTCATGAAATTAGTACAAGTTGAAGTAGTAAATAATAAATTTAACATCAAGGCTGCCATTTCCGTCCAGTAGACTGTCCACATTTGGTATCCTCCTACCCCACATTTCTCCTTCCTTCAGGGACACTATGTCCGAGTCTAGCACTTGCTCACTGTCACTTCCAGGGGCCATTACAATCCTTCAAAAAGAAAATAGAATATATATTTACATATCATAACATTGTTCCACTCAACAATCATTGTGTATTTTTATGCCAGATATCCGTATTGTCTCTCAGCTTAAACAGGAGTAGTACATGGGTGGGTTCGGCTTTGAACACAGCCGTTAGCAAGTTCTGGCACAGTCATACACAAATAGGTACAATGAAATGTTTTTTTCATGCAACACACAGACAGCAAATTTAGTGTTATGCATCATTTCTACTAAAGCCCCCTTAGTTATAAAGGTGATTTTTTTTCAAACATAATATCAATTTCCCTTTGACAATCTATGAACAAATTCTCATAACCTTTTCTCCTGGTTTAGTATAATTCGATTTGTGATGAAAATAGTGTTGGTCACTCTTGGGACATGAAAGAAGGCAAAGGTAGCATTTTCCTTTAAGTGCACTCACAAACACTCTGCATGAAATAATTAAAGTTCTTACTGAATTTCCCCAGTAACTGGATGGGATGCTGAGAGCAGCTGCAGGAACAATTTTTGTTGTCCGGAGTACAGTCCTCTCCATCTGCAGTTGTCATCTATAAATGGCCCACTTGTAAGGGGCTTGTCTCCAATGGCATCTGAAGCTTGTTGTCTCCTGCTCTCCACAAAATTTGGAATTCTCCAGCAAAAGGAGACAACCCTTTCCACTTTGGGCTCTATGGGTTCTATGTTGCATTTCTGAAACAGAAATGGATTTTATGGATATTATGAAATGCACCAGAAAAAGATTTTCAATGTAAGATTTTGAAGGTAAATGCAACAGTTGCCATCCTTTTTTCCACTTACTTCGCTGGTTTTGGCATTTAAAAGAGTGCATGTTTTATTGATTTTTAGGTTGGTGAAAAGGCAGCTTACCTTGTAGTATATTATTCCTCGCAGTCGTTTGATTTCTCCTGATTGGAGTGCAAAATGCGAGGTACTTGCTTCCTTCAAATGGACATTCATGTCCTTCTTTTTCACAATTTTTTTGCAGCCAGGTACTTGGCACATTGAAGCCTTCTCTGGGCATTTGTGTAGATGTAGGTTGATGTTCATTCTACAATTCAAAAAGAGGTATGCGTTAGTTCTAGATCTTCCATTTTGACTGGTATCATATATTCCAACAGTGGTTTGATAAAAAAAAAAAAGTGAGAAAAACATGACACCTCAAGGGTCACGCCAATTGGCTCTGTAGATTAATTGACCTTGATATAAACTTTGGGGCTTTGGGGAGAGCGGTGGTCAGGGGGACTTAAAGTAATTGGAAGTATCACTAGGCCCCTCTCTTAGATCCCCACTGAAAAATAGGCATTATTTCTGTTTCTCAAATCGTTTCTTGCTTATGAAATTTAATTCCTCTCTGTCAGTTATTTTTAAGGAATGCAGCTGATCGCGTGGCACCAGACACAAGTTAGGACTGCTCGTAGTCCTCGATTTGGATAACAGAAGGATAAGTTTGTCACCTGCTATTGACGATTGAAATGATAAGAGAATACAGCAATACTGCAATTCATGCTAAAAATTACCGAAAAATACTTCACTTATGACAATCGCCTAACACCAAAATATCGCAATGCTGAATTATCCTAATTAATACAACATACCGTGGTAATGATGCTCCACATCTCAAGGGGCATAGAACTGCAGAGTTTCTGCATAAAGATGTACGGTGGAATTGGAGTCTTTCCCTGGTTACGCTCAGTTGGCATCCTGAACATGCGATCCTTTCTTTTGGGCAAGCGTGTGCTGTCATTTCTTGCCGTGCCGCCACGTGCTGGCATCCTTCGTTGGGGCACCTCTCTCGTACTTTTGGGCAATGTCTGAGGTGATCGTTGGCATCGCTATAGTTGCCCTTCCACTGGCAGCCTTGGCTGTTACATTTAACAGGCAAATCTCGGGTCGCCTTATCCATTGCCACATTTAACCTCAGCTCTTCTTTTCGGAACGTTGCCCGACACTGGGGACACAACGGTGTGGCTGTCGATTCTGCCCAAGTTTCCATGCAATTTTTGCAGCCAGAGTGCCCACAGGCAAGGGTAACGGGCCTTGACACGATGCTATAACTGAAAAGGAATGTGGCGGTATAATAGCACTGGAAATGAGCGGTAACAAAAACGATGGCAAAATATGACAGCCAGCAATGATATTCAACTCACCAAATACAGCATTCCAAATCCACTGTCCTCAGAAAAGTTAATTCGTTGGACTTGGAAACCACTTCGGTCTTTTGATGAGCCATTGTTACGGACTAAAGGATTTTCGATCACGGTCTGTCGTAATAAAGTTTCCTTGTCAGTGTAAGCTGCTCAAATAACCTCTGATGACAACGGTGTGATTTTTAAAGGTCAATATTTCCGTTGTGCGGTTAATAAATTAATTTCTTTTGTTTAGGTTCTGGTATTGGCGGTAATTGGTACCCTTATTATTGAAATCTTCATTAAGGTCGTGAATTTAATGGGATGCTTTGTCTAGTCGGCTTAGTCCTTCATATTTAGGTCGTCACGTTAAGGGGTTCCTTAGTCTCTTACCTAAACCTGCTCCATTATTGATGTCTGTCCTTTGTAATAATGACATATTCACGGAGGGGACACCACGCTAAAGGCTCGAAAGAGTTTCAGTCACGTGACGTCATTAAAATTAGAAAATAAGAAATTATCAATCCCTTTTGATGAGGCATTTTACCGAATATGAGATCTTCGATGACGGCCTGTCACAGTTACAATTTTCCTTCTTTATAGTATAAGCTGCTCAATTAACCTCAGATTACAACGAGAGTATGATTAGCTTTTAAAGGTCAACATTTCCGTTGTGCGGTTAATTAATTAATTTCCTTTGTTTAGGTTCTGGTATCGGCGGTAATTGGAACGCTTATCACTGAATTGTTCAGTAAGGTCGTGAAGTAAATGGGATGCTTTGTCTAGTCGGCTTAGTCCTTCATATTTAGGTCGTCTTCTAAAGGGGTTCCCAAGTCTCTTGCCAAGTCTCCTAGGACCTTTCTGAAAACCACAGTGATGTAATGAAATTTTCCTGATGAAAGATTGCTATTGTTATTATTAACCCACTCCATTATCGATGGCTGTCCTGAGGGGATGCTACACTGAAGGCTAGGAATAGTTTCAGTCGCGAGCGCGCTTTATCTGGTTTTCACGTCACGTCTTCAAAATTAGAAAATAAGGAATTATCAATCCCTTTGAGATTTTAGTTCGGTTAGTTATAAGAACTGTTGAAGACTTACTTTTTACAAATTTCCAGCTTGTTAGGGTTTTTCGTCTTGTGAGAAAGCAAGATGAATTTCTAAGCTTTGGCGCGAAGCGACATTAAAATGGCGGCCAAGAATGCTGTCACGTAGGTTTAAAAAAAAGTGACATCCGCTTAGATTTCGTGATCTGAACAGTCCTAATATGAGAATAAGTACTCATATAGATGATTATAAGTCCGCTGAAGACGGCTACAGGATTTTATGTCTTTTTGATTCTTGACTTTATTTGTTGTACGTTTTGATGATGGCGTGACAATGAAAACCGGCAACTTGTGATACAAATCTCGCGCGTGCAGTTGAGGCATATTCGTAATTATCGTATGACCCGTCTGGCCCCGCTCGCCTAATCCCCTAGAAAACCACAGTTAAAGCTGACGTCTACAGGGCCGGACGGATTGACTTAAGCCGGTCAGGAAAAAGCCGTTTTTCAAGAAATTGGGAGTTTCTTGTTATGACTTGAAAAAATAAATATATGTCAGTTTGCCGGCCGGAAGGTTCGTATGGTGAAAAACTATGATCGAGGTCTTAATGTATATGCAGCATTTTCAAGACCGAGGTCACAGTTTTTCACCATACGGACCAACCCTTAGCCGGTAAATAACATATTACAGGGACCACATTTAGTATCTGGGCAACCGAGCTCGATTCATGTTCACCGTACTCGAATAGCAATTCGAGTACCATTTGGGACCACATTTAGTATCTGGGCAACCGAGCTCGATTCATGTTCACCGTACTCGAATAGGGCAACGCATGTTTTCTAATAGAGTATGATCATTTTGCGTGACTTGCTGATTAATTGCTTTTGGCGTAATGAATTTTGTGATGAAAGACTGCCATTGCCTCATAACACAAGGAGCTGTAATGATATATTATTATGACATAATCCCATAAAATGCAGTAGAATGCCAGTGGATCAACTACTGTCAGGGCTGGCCATTTTTACCAACATTACAATCAGGATCCTTACTAGTAGGTTAAATACTGAGTATTATACTCTTATCTATATGCTTCTTACCTGCTTGCGCAAGAACAATTCCAGGTACTGGGAGCAATTCCTGAAATGAGATAAAAAGAAAAGGGAAGTATGCCACCCACAGGAGTCACGTCTAACTTACTTTTAACAACTAACAACTTAGCCATAGCTCACAATAAAGATCACCAACAGTTAAACCAAGACATGACTGGCTCCAGCCCTTATTCCCCTTAATAGCATGATCATTATTATGAAGAGATAGTTTTATAAATTTAAATATAAAAAAGATAGATACTAATGAAACTTACATGAACTTATCTAATTCCATGACCTCATGTTTCAATGGTAAATCAAAGTGAGACATTCAATACCATTTCTTAAACACTCAGTAAAAGATGTTACTAAGCTAATTACATAAAAACATGATCTCTATTTCATTATGTCTCTAATTAACTTATGTTGATAAGTTGTTTATATAATGTCATGACCTTTATTTAAAACTATGTGGTAATATATACTTTCAGTTGCTCAACCCTGCTGTTGTAAGTATTATTTGATTAGGTGTTAATGTTAGTGTTATGCAGGAGGAAGCCATGACAGTTCTTTTTATTCACGAAAGTTTTTTTGTTTATATGCTATTTGACATGTCTTTTATAAGTACTTCAGCCTAAATGTGTTCAGTTAACATAAGTACTGTCACAAGAGGACCAGTCAAGTAAGTCTGCACCAAGTATTGCTGCTTAGGGAGAGCCTTGTCCCAAGAACCAGTCAGTCTGCCCCAAGTGTCCCGGCTCACGAAGAACCTCGTCCCAAGGGACCGGTAAGTCTGCCCCAAGTGTCGCGGCTCACGAAGAACCTCGTCCCAAGGGACCGGTCAGTCTGCCCCAAGTGTCGCGGCTCACGAAGAACCTCGTCCCAAGGGACCGGTCAGTCTGCCCCAAGTGTCGCGGCTCACGAAGAACCTCGTCCCAAGGGACCGGTCAGTCTGCCCCAAGTGTCGCGGCTCACGAAGAACCTCGTCCCAAGGGACTGGTCAGTCTGCCCCAAGTGTCGCGGCTCACGAAGAACCTCGTCCCAAGGGACCGGTCAGTCTGCCCCAAGTGTCGCGGCTCACGAAGAACCTCGTCCCAAGGGACCGGTCAGTCTGCCCCAAGTGTCGCGGCTCACGAAGAACCTCGTCCCAAGGGACCGGTCAGTCTGCCCCAAGTGTCGCGGCTCACGAAGAACCTCGTCCCAAGGGACCGGTCAGTCTGCCCCAAGTGTCGCGGCTCACGAAGAACCTCGTCCCAAGGGACCGGTCAGTCTGCCCCAAGTGTCGCGGCTCACGAAGAACCTCGTCCCAAGGGACCGGTCAGTCTGCCCCAAGTGTCGCGGCTCACGAAGAACCTCGTCCCAAGGGACCGGTCAGTCTGCCCCAAGTGTCGCGGCTCACGAAGAACCTCGTCCCAAGGGACCGGTCAGTCTGCCCCAAGTGTCGCGGCTCACGAAGAACCTCGTCCCAAGGGACCGGTCAGTCTGCCCCAAGTGTCGCGGCTCACGAAGAACCTCGTCCCAAGGGACCGGTCAGTCTGCCCCAAGTGTCGCGGCTCACGAAGAACCTCGTCCCAAGGGACCGGTCAGTCTGCCCCAAGTGTCGCGGCTCACGAAGAACCTCGTCCCAAGGGACCGGTCAGTCTGCCCCAAGTGTCGCGGCTCACGAAGAAATTATTATCTTTAAAACATGACAATGTAACATGCTATTTGTAGTTAAGAAATGAAACTAGAAATGAAATGTAAACTTTATCGCAGATCAAATAACAATGGCTTGAACGAACTTTCTTGGGTTACGAAGTACAGAAAGAAGTGGTTGGAGCGTGTTTAGAAGTGTGGGGAGAAACACTCACTCATGGCTGATTTTTCTTCTCACACTTTTCGACTGCACTTGTCACTTAGTTGTGTGCTTTATGGTCAAGGCTTTTGTATTAGTATTCAAAGTATGACATAATCATTTGACGTAGCTTATAGATCATAGTTAATGTTTATATAATATGCAATTAGCAGTCAAAGAAATACCAGGAGGGAGGTACAAAAAAACTTTCTTCTTTCTGTGTCCGCCAAAATGCTCTAAGATCTGGGCACCACTGGGAAGGCCGTCGGCCACCTTCATCATGGCATGGCCACGGGCATACGATTTAATAACTTCAAGACTGTGTAATGAAAAGAAAGGTGGAAGAAAATGTAAATTCAGTCAGAGCAGTGAGGATAACTTGAGTGGCATAACAGTGGAATAATGACATAATGAGACCTGTAAATGGGTCGAAGTAACTCTTTTTACATTTTGGAGGTATATGGTGTTAAAAAACAACATCTGATGAGAGCTATATCATCAGCAAAGATTAGGCATCATGGGCAAGGTGAGCAAAGGGTCCTACCCATCTCACCATGCGCACCTCGTTGGAAGACGACTAGGGAACGAAGCAGCCGCAATCTATTATGCTAATCGCTCTGACGAAGGGCTAACGCTCGAAACGTCAGCTTTTTTACCTTTTACGGTGGCTAATTTACGTTTTCAACCCAGTTGTTAACACTAAATTACCTGCTATACTCTCCCACCGACACAGCACCACAGTTTCTTTAGAAACTTACCCCTTTATTATTATTCAACTTCTGCTACATTAAAGGTGTCAAATAAATGATTTGGAAATCCTCGATTCTGCGTTGTTTCTTCAACTGTTTTTAGGCCTTTTCCCCCTTATTTTGCTGACTATCCTTTGCCTTGGTTATAACTGTAAGCGGCAACTGTGATTGACTGTTGTCATAAAAGCCGAGAAAGCTGTAGCGTTTCTGCTAAACGAGCTGTGGCGTCATGCTAAGGTCTTGTCATTTCGCGTTTGTGTCGTTTACAAGAAAGCTATGAACCAGCAACTCGGAACACCCTCCCGTAAAGAGCCAATGCTCACCTTAGTGTCATTTCCTTCATCTCCTTAGCAGTAGAAATCATTCTATGCTCTTCTCCTGTCACTCT